TACACTGGGGCTGTAGTGCCAACGAAAAAAAAATCGTTCAAGTATATTTCCGTTTTAAATGAAACTAGTTATCTCGTAACCACTCTACCTCTATCTTGCTAAAATTGTTGCACGGTATGTCAAAAGCATGTATCTCGTGTGAACGCTATATTCCGTAATTAAAATAAATTCACACTGGAAATAATATTAATAGGTAGAGCTAGAGTTGTCCCTGTGCTTAAATAATTAAGAACTGAGCCATGAAGGCGTAAGTAAGTGGATGTACAGACACACATTTTCTCCACCTGGGCACTAGTTTAAGGTGAATGGTCAGATTCACGCCCCGGCCGCTTTACCCGCAAGGAAAGAACACCCCCCCGGTAACTAATGTACAGTATGTTGGGTGGACCACAGAGCCGGTCTGGACTACATGGAGTTGTGAATATTCTTCCAACACCGGACCTCGAAATTCGACTCCTCCGTCTTGCAGCCCGTAGCGAGTCGCTATACCGGCTGGAAATAAATTTCGTTGGAAATAAAATGAATTAATATCTTAATGTTATTCAATTGTGGTCATCGTCCACTAATTAAAAAGTAATTTACATGAGAGTATTTCACGTTGTTGGATTTATTCTCGCTGAATTGTATTTGCGGTCTAGGCGTTATCTGTGATGTGTAAATAGTACGAGTATGTTGTTGTTATAAACTCTTATTGTTAGTTCTTTAAGTATTCGCAGTTGTTTATGGTTATACTTATTCGTGTTTTTAGTGCAGTTCGTAAGCAAGTAGACATATTGTTATTATCAGAGTAGTTATCTGGTATATGAAAATAGATATATTTTGTACATTATTTGTTTTGCTGTGTGTTCTCTGTATTTTGCTTTAATTTGCCTTTTATATTCACGTGTTCTCCATTGGATTGTAGGATATTCTACGTTGTTAGACTGTTATGTTGCCAAGTGGTTAACATGACTGGATCTGTGTGTCCTGCCATGTACGAAAGCAGGGTGCGTCATAGAGAACGTTCATAATATCTACATACACACACACACTCACACAC